CCTGGCCCGGCAGTGGTCTCTTGAGCCCTGCTCCAGCATATGGCCCACATGCAACCCAACCTTTTGGAGCCCAGGCCATGTCAGTTAAGAATCTGAACCCCAGCCCTGGGAGAAGGCAGGGGCTGAGTGTGGGATCAGGCATTGAGAAAGTGTCACTGGAGCTGAAGCCCGCCCCTGAAAATCTCCTGCTTGCTCAGCTCTAGGGCAGGAGAGAGAGGAAGTGCAGAGGGTAGACCTCCCTCTGCCTCCCTCCCTTTGGACTAAAAGGCTCGTTGCTACTCCAGGCTCACCAAGGCCCACCCCTTGCCTAATCCTGACCCCCTCTCCAACGGGAAGCAATTCCTCCTGAAGTACCCTCTCTTATTGCCTGCCCCTTCTTCAAACCTGCTTCTGCATCCTCTCCCAACACCTCTGATCCATGGATCAGGCCCCTGCCTCCGCCTCCTCCATTCATGCCAAGGCTTTGTGACCTTGTGATCGCACCTCTTCATCTTAGAGTCCCAGGCCTGACAACCAAGCCCTTGTTCTCAGCTTTCTCTGGCCTTGACCCATGGAGCTCCATTCTTGTCTGATTTTCCTCCTCCCTGCTGGCGTTTCTCTGGCTGTTGCTGCCCAGGGTCCTGTCCCAGGATTTTGTTCTTGCTCTGTACTTGCTTCTTGAGATATCTCCAGTACTCCCGGGCTTCAGCTACCAGTCCCCAGATCTCCCCTCCACCCAGACCTCTCTCCAGCTTCTCCTCTTGGGTGTTGCCTGGGTCTCACAAAAAGTGGGGCCACACTAAACTCCACCCATTTTTTGTGTTCCCCATTGGCGCCTGTCATCCTCACTCACTCAGTCACCCAGCTAGGAACCCAGCATCTGTCGGATCTGTTCCCTCTCTTTCCCTCTCTAAACCTGTCCCTATTGCTTCACCTATTGTGGAAGTCGCCTGATTGGTCTACCTCTCCCTGATGCAAGATGCCCTGATTACCAGCATGAATTCTAGTGCCAAACTGTCTGGGTAGAATCTCAGCCCTACCACTTAACTAGCTGTGTGATCTCAGGGCATTATTTAACTGCCCTGTCTCAACAAAAGAGGATTATAATAGATAATCATAGTGACTTCTATTACAGGGTTGTTGGTGAGGTTTCAGTGAGTTAATATACATCAAAATACTTGGTATGGTGCCTGGTACAGTTGCAATAAAATTTTGCTTTTATTATCGCTTTTGTTAGTATGACCATTTATTTATTTTAAAAATATTTTAGAAGGCCTACTGTGTGCTAAGGAACTTTGCTAGGCATTAAAGGACATAATAATGAACAATAAAAGTGCTTCCTACCCCCAAGAACTTCACAGTCAAGATAGAAGCCTTTTCATAAAGTCCCATGGTGCAACAGTTCCTGCTGCTTGATCTATGTTCTATTCTTTCCCATCTTATTACAAAACAAAAGCAAAAGCAAAAGCAAATGAACCTTGGATTCTACAGCTCCCTCCAACTATTGTCCTAGCTTACTCTGCCATCACAGTCAAGCTTCTCAAATAAGTTTATTCTCCCAGCAAGTGTTTATTGCCCACCTACTGCATGCCAGGGACTGTGCTGGAGAGTCAGCAGTGAACAGAGAAGACAAATCACTACCTTCAGTGAGTTTATCTTCTAGTGGGGGACAGGGACAATAAACAAATAAATCAACAGGTATAATATAATATCAATGACAGTATAGAGAAATAGAGGCTGTGAAGTGAAATGAAGTGAGGCAGGGAACACAGGGTAACTGAGGGATTGGTGGCTATTTTAGATAGGGGAGCAGGAGAGTCCTCTCTGAGGATATAACACTTGAGCAAAGACCTGAATAGAGTGAGAAGATCTGGGGGAAGAGGATCCTAGGTAGAGGGAACAACACAAATGCAAGGCCCTGCATGAGCAGCAAGCATGAATATGGGTGGAACAGCAAGAGGGCTCAAGTGGCTGAGTGAGCAAAGCAGGGGCAGGGGCCAGAGCTTAGGGCAACCACATGCATCCTCTATGCCCTGGACTGTCCTGGCAGAGTAGTCTTGCCTCCTTTCACTCTCGAGGGTGCCCCAGGTTTAGATGATAGACTATATAGTCTCCCAATGTATAGGCCATGATAGGCAGTTGGCATTTTATTGTGATGGGAAGCCTATGGAGGGTCTTGAGCAGGACGTGGCAAGATCTGATTGACATTGTAAAGGATCATGACCAAGTCCTTGAAACACTCTGCTCCTTTCCTCTACCTCCTGGGCTGTCCCTTCTCAAGCTCCTCTGCAGCTCTCTTTGTCCTATGTAATGTAGGAGTTTCTCTAGACCAGTGGTTCTCTACAGGGAGTTGAGGGAGTGATTTCTCCCCCAGGGACATTTGGTATGATCTAGAGACATTTTTTTTTTGTATCATTAATCTACAATTACATGAAAGACATTATGTTTACTAGGCTCCCTCCTTCACCAAGTCCCCCCCACATACCCCTTCACAGTCACTGTCCATCAGTGTAATAAGATGCTGTAAAATCACTACTTGTAGAGACATTTTTAAGTGTCTTGACTGGGGCAGGTACTATTGGCATTTAGTGAGTAGACGCAAGGATGCTGTTGAACATCTACAATGCATGTAACAGCCCCACACAATAAAGAATTTTCCAGCCCAAAATGTCAATAGTGCTGAGGTTAAGAAACCAAGCACTAGATTGGCACCTATAAATGTCTAACAGAAATATAACGAGAGCCACATATATAAATATTTTCTAGTCACCACATTAAAAAAAACTTTAAAAAGTAACAAGTAAAGTTAATTTTAATAATATATCTTATTTAATCCAATATGTATAAAATATTATCATTTAATGTTGTCATTTAATCAATATTAAAAATGTCAATGAGATTCCTTCCTTCCTCTTTGTCTTTTTTTTAAAATTCTGGTGTGTATTTCAGACTTACTACACATAAAGTTTCAGACCAGCCAAATTTCAAGTGCCTAGTAGCCGCATATCTTGTGGCTGTTGATTGTATTGATGGCATAACTCTAGGCTCAGTAATAAATAACACAGCCTAATTGTTTAAGAGCTATATAAGGTAATAAAGCCTAATGGTTTGGCTCTGGAACCAAGTTGCCTTGTTGAATTACAGCTCTTCCATTTGCTACCTGTCTATGTTAGGTAGTTAGTCCACCTCTCTGTGCCTTTGCATTTCATTGGTAAAATGGGGATGATAATAATCTTACTACTTTATACAGTTGTCAAGGATTAAATGAGTTAATACCAGTTTCAGGTATTTTACTAAGAGTTTGCCAAATGTTAACTATTTAACTAGACCCCTCCTCTGTCTCCATCCACACTTTCTCTCTGGGTAATCCATCTATTCTCATAGCTTTAAGTGCTCCTTATTACCTAATGACTCCCAAATTTAAATATCCAGTTTAGACCTCTTTTCTGAGCTCCAGACCCTCTGTTTCACTGCACAGCCCATTAATGATGACCTGGGGCATCTCACATGAACATGCCCACAACAATCCTTGACCTTCTCCTAAAAATTTGCTCACTGCCAGTCCTTGCAAATCTCAGCCATTCATTACACAGGGCAGATACTTGGTAGCATCCTTGATTTCTGCCTTTCCAGGGAATGCATTATGCCTAAATTATGTAACTGCTATGTTGGTTGCGATTTCCACTTCACTGGTATGTGCCCACAGAAGTTATGTGAGTGCTGAGGGTACCTGGAATAAGAGTGTCCATATGTGTGGCTGGGGTGACTGCCAGGGCCTCCCGAGGAAGCACAGGCTGCAGGAACTGACATTCATGCTAGCTGGGTATCAGCATGTGTTTGTGTACTTGGCCAAGGGGTTGTGGCTCTGGGACATATGTGGAAGGGGGCACAGAAATGCTACTTCCCACCACTGTAATCAAGTGTCCCCAAGCAGGTCTTGCTGTGGGGGTGTAAGTGCAGTTATTCCCAGATGACCAACCCCGTCCTCCCAAGCGAAGGGGTGGCTTCCTGTGTCCTGGTGGGCAGGTCAAAGGGAAAGACTTCCCTGGTGTCTGACCCACCACATCAAGACCTCCTCCCCGTCTCCTCTGCTCATGAGGTCTACCTTCTGGATGCTCCCATTCTGTTTCCCTCTGAGCCTCTGGAGCTTCTCTGAGATACTAGTCCATGAGGAAGGCAGGTGAATGCCTGAGAATCTTCCTTGCGTCTCCCTCCCTAAGGGCAGGGCAGCTAAAGCTCCTACTGAGGGAAGAGTTTGGTCTGCTGTGGGGGTGGGGGGATCCCAGGAGGGGAGGCTGGAGGGGACTCCCCATCTCCCTTTTGAGTCCCTGCCACAATTTCAGAAATGAGCCCCCTCCTGAGACTCTTGGACTCCCAGGAACCTCTGGTGAATTGGGAGCTGATTTCCAGGGACACCCCCATCCTGCTACCACCAAGTCGGGTCCTCAGGGCCCTTGGCCAGAGCCAGTCCTGTTCAGGGGCTCAGCCACAACTTCAGCTGTCCCTTTGGGGGGTGACAGTCACCGCTCTCAGGTCTGAGCCTCCCTCAACCCACATTCCGCTTGCTTTGAACACCTACGGAAGAAGCTGCTTAGGGAGTTGATCAGGCCACAAACACTCCCACTAATCTCACCAAACCAAATGCGTGGGCCTCCCACAGATTCCCAGGAAGCAGCAGCAGGTGGGTTACCCTTGCAGAAGCTGGGGCATCACACGCGGAGCCTCTAAAGGCCAGCAGCGCCCCGGGCGAACCAGGGACACGCGGGGATTCCTGGCTTCCGTGGTGGGCCTCCAAGGGCACCTGCCCAAGGCCACCCAGCGCGCGGCGGCCGAAGCCCCGGAGCCGAGCCGGACCTCCCAGCCGTCAGTGGGGTGGGGGCGGTGACCGCCCGGGGCCTTCCCACGGCTCGGTCTGCGCGTCACCGCGGGGGCGAGGGGGCGCCCGGGGCCGCGGCGCAGGAAAGGGCCCTGGGAAAGGGCGGTGGCGGCGCCCCCGGGGCGGGGCCGGGGCGGGGCCCGACTTCCCGGCTCGCAGCCCGCACCGCCTGGCTGAGACCGAGTAGCCTGCGCTCGCCATGAAGCGGCCCCGGGAGCCGAGCGGCTACGACAGCGAGTCCGAAGGACCCATCGACGTGGGCCGCGAGGGCGAGCTGAGGTAAGGCCGGGGTGGGGGACTGCGCGTCGAGGGCGAGCGGGGCGGGGGCGCCCGGACCAGCTCAGCGAGCACGGGGACTAGCCCTCGGGGCGGCCGCAGGAGATGCAGGAGTGGGCGACCGACCGTCCGCCAGCTGTGTTTTGTTGCAGGGCGGGGGAGAGCAGGGCACATGTGCAGTGTGGGCCGTTACAAGCACGAGTGACTGCGATCCTGTGCGCTCTTGGCCATTTAGGGCTCAGAACACTGGGATGGAGATAGAGTTCAGCTCAGGGGCCTGATGTCTCGGTGATCGGCTTTCTGTCGAAGTGCCTAGGGAAGGAGGCGACTGGCGAGTTTTCCCTGAAGATTTTAGGAAACTCATAGACTCCACACCCCCTGTCCAGAATCCCCTCACTGTGCAGAATAACCATACTTTCCCAGTTTTACCCTAGATTGGTTGCACTTTTTATATAGTACACAAAAGGCTTCCCTCGGAAGAAAATGTCCCTTAGAGCAAATTGGACTTTTGAATTAAGGTTTTGGTATTGGAGAAAATAAGAGCTGACTCATCCATTGTGAGTGCAAGGGCATAGGCTCCAATTCCTGGGCTTTTCCTACCACACCACCATGTTGCCAATGTCTTTCAGCTGTTGGTAAATGCTCTGAACTGCGCTTGTCTAGTTCTGCTAATTCCCAGTTCTGTGAACAATCTAAGTTTTAGTTTCCTTATCTGTAAAATGGGTATAAATAATAGAATGAACTTCATAGGATTATTGGGAAAATCAAATGAGATAACTGTATGTCAAGGGCCTAGAACAGGGCTTAGCACATAGCAAATGCCTAATTAGTATCAGACAGCCAACGTGTGATACCCAGAACCCTTAAAGAATAGCAGGGACTGATTGAGAATATGCAAGCCTGGGTCCCAGCCCCAAATCTGCCACCAACTCACCATGTGACCTTGGGCCATTGCCTTCCCTTTCTTAGCCTGATGAAGAATCAGTAGTAAAATAAAGTAGGACAGGGAGTGGGAAATGGAAGGCTAGATGATGTGGCTCATCCAAACCTGACTCTCTAGAATAGATTTGGAAGGGGGATTCAGTTCATTGTTAGAGATGTTTTTTGTTTTTTTGGTATCATTAATCTACAATTACATGAGGAACATTGTGTTTACTAGACTCCCTCATCACCAAGTCCCCCCCACATATCTCATTACAGTCACTGCCCATCAGCATAGTAAGATGCTATAGAATCACTACTTGTCTTCTTTGTGTTGTACAGCCCTCCCCATGCCGCCCCCTACATTATGTCTGCTAATAGTAATGCTCCCCCTTTTTTTTCCCCTTATCTGTTAGGGATGTTTTTGAGGGCACTTCATAATTTCAGTGATGTCCAGTTTTCTGAGACCAGGGGATCCTGCCTCAATCACAAATCCTAAAATGCAGCCAACTTCCAATTATTTATAACTTACAATAGAAGGTAAAGCAATAGATATTCCCTTTGCATCCTTCCAATTAGGTGTTTGGGTGTATAATACAATTTCCTGAGCACCTTTACAACGTTTTAAAATTGTTTAGCATAAACTGCTTTTTAGAAAAGCAATTCCCTAAGTCTGTGCCTGCTAGGAAAAGAGGAAACTCCCAGCACCATGTGGTGGAAGGAGTCTCAAATTCGAATGTCATTGGGTCTTTGTGAATCAGAGGCACAAAATTGATGCCAGAGAGCTGGGCTGGCAGAGCTGGGTTTTGTCCTCAAAGAATTTGCAGCCTGCCCAGTGATCTGCCTGTCACACAAAAACCACGGATAGGATGGATGATGGAAGGAGACTCAGACTGTGGGCTGTGAGGGCACCTAAGCAGGGAGAGGTCACCCACAACCAAAGGTGGCAGGGAGGGCTTCTTGAAGGTGGTGGCATTTGGACTGTGGCATAAAGGATCAGTGGGCAGCCTTTTGTCCTTTCAGCCAGAGCCCATTTTTAGAGACTGTCTAGATTCTGAGAGGAGCAGACCCCCTCAGAGGAGAGAAAGCAGTTGGACATCTGGCAGAAGCTGACTTATAGACCTCTCTTTGTAGAACTCACCAAAGGGCCCTCCCCCCAGCAGACATCAATGCTTCAATTCAGGGAGCACTGAACGATGCCTGCTGTGGCCCAGACCCTGGGCTGGGCGTGGGGGGCCCAGATGTATCCTGCTCAGCTTTTGCCCTCAGGGAACTCTCAGAGAAGAAGAGCTTCATGTACAAAGAAAGCCAGATAAACAGTGGTAAGGGCCATGGGACTGGGGCAGCTTGCCTCCCCAGGGTCAGAGGCAGGGCACAAATCCCCCACACTCAGAGATGTCAAGAGCTGGGTGTGTCTGTCGTCACTGTGGGCATCTGCCTGCTGATGGTATCCTGTCCCATATGAGAAAATCACCTATAGGCTCCTATCTAAACCCAGCTCCTTGGCACAGGTAGGATCCAGAGACTATAGCCTCTCTCCTACCCTTCTCCAAACATTTTATGAGCACCTATCACATGTCAGCCACTGGGTCAGGGGCTGTGGGTTGTTCCTACATTATGTAAGGCACATGGTGGCCTTTGAAGTCAGATCTGAGTTTGATTCTCACCACCATTAACTTGGGCAAGTGACTTTACCTTTCTGAACCTCAGTTTTCTCCCCATACAAAATGGGCATGCTAAAACCTACCTCACAGGGTGAGGCTTTGGTGAGGTAATGTACCTAAAGCACAGAGCCCTCTGCTTTGGCACAAGGTAAGTGCCAGTGAGTGCTACTCTCTAAGGGGTCACCATTCAGTTGGAGAATGTTGTGTTCACAAGGCAACATGGTCTTATGAAAAGACTAGAAGTCTGAAGACTGGACTTGGCATGATTCTTAATTGTTTGTGTCTCTGTCACTTCATCTATCAAATGATTATTTTTTCTGATAAGTGACTCCAGTAACACAAGTCACAGGGCTATACTGCAATCAATGAGACAAGTGAATGTGGAAGTGCTGTCTAGAACAAAAAGAACTGGCTATGAGATGCACGTGGGGAGGTGTGTGGGCGATGCTCAATGACTACATGGGGTGCCCTGGACAGAGCACTGAATGAAAAGCCAGAAGACTTGGCTCCAGTTCCAGAATTCTTCTCATTTGCTGTGTGGCCTGGAGCAGACCCCTTCCTTTTCTGAGCTTCCTCCTTTTACAAGTGTGCTTAGTGCTACCTGAGAGCCCTTCCTTGGAGACATTGTGATTCTGCCTTTGGTTAATGCAGAATGAGTGGGGTTACCTGCAGGGGCTCCATGGAGATGTTCCCAAGGGGGAACTAAGGGTGAGCTCTGAGGGTGGCCAGGACTGGCAGCCAGACCACCTGGAAAGATGTCCCTCCCCAAGAGACCACCCTAGAATTCTAGCTAGGGACCTCTTATAGTCCATGGAGCAGATCTTGGTGGTCAACGTATCTTCTCTGGGTCTGTGAAAATCTGCCTTATTTCCAGACTGTCAGACAAGCAGCTCTCACACCTCCTCCCAGAGTCAGGGCCAGATCACAGCCTGGAAGTGAGCTCTAGCCGAGCTCTTGGGAGCTTTAAGGATAAGGGGACTGGAGGGCTGTTCAGACAGACAGGAAGTAGGAATTAGGAAGGAAAACAATGCTGAATTTGGAGCCAGAAGACATGGATTCCCATGCTGGCTTTGCTCCTTAGCAGCTGCATAGACTGGGCAAGCTGCCTTAGCTCCCCAAGGCTCAGCATCCTCATCTGTAAAATGGGGCTTTTGTTAGGACCAAAGGAGGGAATATATGTAGTGCTGCCAAGAGAACTGTGAGGTGAGGTTTGCCTGTGAGACACGGGAGTAGGGGAGAAGAGATAATATTGCAGAGAACCAGTGACCAGGAGAGTGAAAAAAGTATGGCAGAGCTGCCGGGCCCTGAAAGGGGTGCATCAGCCTCCAACAGATAGTCCCAGAGGAGGGATCATGCTGAGAGGCAGTGACGTGTGCAGTGCTAACCAAAACCCCCCAGAGACACTTTATCTAGCAGGGAAGGGGGTGGGGGACAAAGGCTGTGTTTCTTAGTATACCTTGCTCTTGGGGCTTGTCCTAAGTGAAGCTTTGTAAGCAGGCTGCCCTACAGATCTCTGGCCATCTGAGCCCTGGACCTAGCTTGCTCCTTTTCCAGATGTAGCTGGACAAAGCCAGGGGCATAAAAGTAGGATTTGATGTATGTTGATCTGGTTTCTCCTGCAACCTTCTCTTTTCGAGCATTTAATGAAAATAATGCAACCTTTAATGCCAAGAGGGTGTAGTCACGTGGGCTGGGGCTCTCCTGATGAGCCATATATGCTCCCCTTCCACAAGGCCTAGAGCCTAGCTCTTCTGATGTTATCTCTGTTCCCCAGTGATGCCAAAGATGAGGGCAGGAGAAGAGAGTGCAGCCATGAGCTCTGCCATGTTCCAAGCAATTGTGGAGTACTGGGGCTACAGTAGTGAATGAGACAGACATGGGTCAAGGCCTCATGGAGCTTAAGGACTTGTGGGAGAGATTAATCAAATAATCATATAGATATAAGACAAGAATAGGCATAAATTTTTGAACACACGATTCAGGAAGAGTGTAGAGCAGGAGATATCTAGTGGGAGGGGAGATGTCAGGAAAGGAAGGTGATATGTGAGCTGAGATCTGAAGGGTGGTAGAAGTTATGAGGCAAAGGGGCCAGGACTTGGGGGCAGGGAGATGGGGTAGGCCAGAGAATTTTAGGCTCAGGGAACAGTGTGTCCAACCACAGGAAGGAGTTAATGCAGTCACAGGCTAGTGCACACACAGCAAAAGAGAGTTGAATCTAGGGGTTGGACAGAGACCAGCTGGGCCACCTAAAAGATGGTGCCCTGGATCCTAAAAGCAGTTGGGAAGCCCCTGAGGAGTTTTAAGAGAGTGACAAGATCAGATTTACATTTAAATGATCACTCTGCCTGCTTGTAGGGGGTAAAGTCAAGCAGTGGTCCAGGTGACAGGTGAGAGAGGTTTGGTCCTGAGGGTGGCAGTGGAGGCACGGAGGTGTAAGATGTGTCCTAGACATGGAATGGGCAGGTTCTCATGAGGCAGGGTGAGGACAGAGGAGGAATCAAAGATGGTGGCCAGGGAGCTGCCTTGCAGAACTGAGAACTGCTGAGATGGGAGTCAGGGGAGGCGGAGAGGTGTGAGGGGGAAGCAAGCTCAAGCGTTCCTGTTCAGATGTGTGGCATTTTGCATTCTGAAATGGCAGAGGAGTCCCCTTGTCTAGAGTTACTTGTTGATGTGCGTGATAGTGAGCCTCGGGAGGGTCGGGGCCTGGCTGACCCTCTCCAGTCCTGGCCTGCCCTGGACGGGGCCTCCAAAATGCTGGCCAAATTAAGGGCTCTCACTACAACCCTGCAAATCCCCTCCATTCCAAAAGAAACTCTGAGCCAGGAAACCGTTTTGACGACGAGCATTGGGGCTGGAGAATATTCGGGTCAGTCTGGGCAGGAAAAGCTCTGCAGGGCTGAGCCTCTTCGCGTGGATGGGGACTTCTGGGGAGCGAGCAAACGCCTCCTTCAGGCTGGCCTGTCGAGGGGAGGCCCGACGTGATTCCCGGCGAGAGCCCTCTGGGGAGGCCAGCGCAGTGTCCTGAGAGCCGGGGAGGGGCCTGTGACCCAGATGCCGCCCCTCTTCGCCCCCCGCCGTGCTGCGTGGGAGGAGGCGGCAGCTGCAGGCCTGGCGGAGGGCGGGCGGCCGGCGCGCCCGGCCCGTGGGAAGCGGCGGCATCTGCTCTTTCCACGCTCGTTCCCAGCGGCTCCCTCTGAAACCCAACCCGCCGGCGGCCGCCGCCGCTGGCCCGTGCCCTTGTTGCCCCGCCCGGGGATCGGGTTGCAGGGGCCGGGCCCGCTGCGGTTCCCCGACACCCGCGCGGGCCGCCGCCAATGCCAGGGCAAGGGCGAGGGGCAGGGGCAGGGGCAGGGGCAGGACCGAGCCGGGTGGCCCAAGAGCCTGGACCCCCGCGGCCCAGCTGCCCCGAGACTCCAGGGCAGGAAGCCGAGCGCAGGGGAGGACTTGGCCAGGGGCGAAATGGGCCCCGGGGGAGAGGGGAGAGAAAGCATCCCCACCCACGCCTGCCCTGCGCCACTTCCCGGCCTGGGGGACCGTCTGGGAGGGGGGCTATGCCTGCCCACAACCCTGCCTCCTTCGAGGTCGGCCCGGGTTCGGGAAATGGTCCCCAGCTCTGAAAAACCAGCCTTTTTCTTGTTTCCAGCCAGATGGCCAGGCCACTGTCCACCCCCAGCGCTTTACAGATGCAAGCCAGGAAGAAACGCAGAGGGGTGAGTGTCTGTCTCAGCACAGTTGCTCAAGGAGGGTTTGCCTGATTCCCCCAGGCTTGGCCCGGAGTTTCCTGGTCAGAAACAACACTCTGAGCAAGACTGTCTGGATTCAAATCCCAGCTTTGCCAGCAGCTGTCAGGGTGACTCTGGGCAAGCCCGTGACCTCTCTGCCTCATTCACCCCTCTGTGTAGCTGGAGTGATGATAGTGCCTACCTCAAAGGGCTGTTTTGAAGATGAAGCGAACTGACACGATGCACTCAGCAACACTGGACACACAGGGAGCCAACACTACTTAGTCCAGCCTTCCCTCCTCTCTCTGAGACCAGGACTTTAAGTTCCTCTCAGTGTGCTGAGGGGTGAGGGAGGGGAACAGAAGAAGGGGGCTTCCCTGCTTGCTCTCAGCCATCCCATCCCACCTCCCCCAGGATGCAGCTGTGCTTCCGCCCTGGGAGTCCAAAGGCCTGGAATGTGGCAGAGACCACACCTACTACCCAACCACCATAAGACCCTAGGCAAACTACTCTGTCCAGACCTCATCTTCTTCATCTGTCAAATGGGGGTTTAATTGCTGCCCTGCAATCAGTATTCTCCTACCGGTATTGGGAGGTGAGAATGAGGTAGGGTGAATGAAAGGCCTTTCCAGCTGGAGAGAGCAATGCCTAGGCCTCCTCAGGCCTCTTCCTGATCCAGCAATTGAAGGGGTAACATGCCATGCAGGGGCCTCCAGGGCCTGCTCCAGTGCTTGGCTGCTGTTTCTGTTCCGATTGGTTGGTGCCCTGCTGGGCCGGTGGTTGGACATTTGGAGTATCACTCCTACAGGCCAAGTCCAGAGAGCCGAGCTCTCCTCCCAGCGCTGCTCTCCCTGATGTGTGACCTTACCCAAATCACTGCCCCTCTCTGAGCCTTGGTTTCCTCCTCTGTAAAGTAAAAATAGGTTCATCTCCCTCACAAACTGTTGTGAGGGAAAATGTGAGTCAGTGTCCATCAAGGCACACTGGTGGTGTGATGTGCCTGCTGTGTTTATCACCTGTGATGAAGTGCCTATGTGCACATTCTTGTCATTGTTTTTTAGATCATAGAGAAACGGCGCCGGGACCGCATCAACAGCAGCCTCTCTGAACTGCGGCGCTTGGTCCCCACTGCCTTTGAGAAGCAGGTATGTGACACTGCTGATTATTCTAGAGGAAATAGTGTACAGATGGCAGAGAAGTTCCATTTCTCAGGGCATCTCTTGTTGATTGGTAGCAGCTGCCTGGAGTGCTGTGATATCATTTGTTGATATCTGTCACTGGAAATTCGTATTTACTGAGGTGTCTCAGGTGTTGTGTGGGTTTAAGTCCATCAGCCCATTGAACTGAACCCTCAGATGATCCTGAGAGATAGGGATTATTGTGCCCATTGCACACGGAAGGAAAGTGAGGCATAGAGGTGCAGTAACTTGCACCAGGTCACACAGCCAGTAAATAGCAGAGCAGAACTGGACCACAGAATGGTGTGATTCTGAAGCCCCCTATCCCTCTGCAGTATTGACATTTCCAGAGCTATTTGAAAGTGGAACAAGCTGCTTAGGGAGCAAACACTCTGCCATTGAACAGGTTGGAGTGAAAAACTACCTTGTCTTTCAGAGGTCAGACAGTTGAATCAATCAGGTAGCCTCAAAGATTCTCCTCCCTGTGCTCCAAGGCATGGTCATAGGTCATATGCCTTCCTTTGTGCTGGTGAGAACAAGTCAGTCAGTCCACAAAGGTTCACTAATAAAACTTTCACAGGGCCAGTCATGACCTAGACCTGGCACCTGCCCTCAAGAACTCACATGGAGAGTCTGACCCTCAGGTTTCACCTGGGAGACCAGGTGATGCTGGAGGCTTAGGAAACATTTCCCAAGAGAACAGAGGAAGAACAAGTGCTTTGTGGGTAAGATCATGAGCTAGATCTTGGGTATGGTGAGTGTGTAGTTGGATTCCCAGTAAAGCAGGTGTGGGAGACAGGTGGGTACACAGATGTGGCATTCTGGGGATGGTGCACGAAGCCACGGAGGTCAGTGAGACCTTCTGGGGAGAGTGTGCAGTGAGAAAAGTGAGCCAGCATGCACTGGGGCACAGCACTATTTTAAAGGACAGGCAGAGCAAGAGGCAAGGTGAAAGGAGAGCCAAGGATAAATGGTGCCATGGAGGTCAGGGGCGCAGGGGTTTCAGGAAGGATAGTCAGCAGTGCGGCGGGCGGGTGGGCGTCAGGGAGGACTGAAGAGAACCTGTTTGATGTGGAGACCTTAGCCAAAGCAGAAGCCCAATTGCAGACAGTGGTGGAGTGGGAGGAGGAGGAGAAAGTTGAGACAGTGTGTGCTGATGACAGTGCAGGGAGGTGAGCAGGTCAGCTGCAGGCCTTCACTCTTCTGTCTCTGTCCACATAGGGCTCCTCCAAGCTGGAGAAAGCTGAGGTCCTGCAGATGACAGTAGATCACTTGAAAATGCTCCATGCCACTGGCGGGACAGGTACTGATGCCCTTCTATCCCTGGAGTCATTCATGTGACAAATATAAGGGGCTGGGCCTTGGGGATCACTGATGAGCAAAGTCGACGGCATCCCTGCCCTCATGGAGCTCACAGTCTATGGAGGGCAGGCCAATCCAGGTGGAACATTTGCAAAGCTTGTCTCTCTTCTTTCTGCTTTGCCCTCTCTACTTTCAGTGTCTCCATTTGTCCCAACTCCATTCCTTTCTGCATCTTCACTCTGTCCAGTCCTAGACCTTGGAGAGCTCTTCTAAACAGGCTGGTCCTACTGATCCCCCACCCCAAACCCCCCAGAGCCTCATTAAGTATCAACCTGACCGAGCTCAGTTTACTGGGATCCCAGGCTGAACCCAGGAAGGGGCCTGCCTGAGATTTGTAGCCACAGACCTTTTACTGGTATACCTACCCACTGGTCTAGCCTTTGGGCTGTTGTGTCATTGGCAGTGTTGGGATGATAAGTCACACTCACAGCTGGAGATCAGTGACAGGATTGTAGTAAAATACAAATGTAACCCATTCCATGATTTTGAGCAAGTCCATTACAATAAAGTCATGGAACTATGGCTTTTAAAGACTTCTGGACGAATGGAAATTTTGCCTACATGGAGGCTCTCTGTGTAGTGTGGTGATTTCACAATTTAGAATCCTTGAACACTCTGCAGACCTTGGTGACAAAGACCTAAATCCTAAAATCCTAACTTGCTACCTTTGGAGAGGACAGTTGCATTTAAGCAGCTCACCTCATGCTTCTCAAGCCTCAGTGTGCACAGTATCATCTGGGGGCAGGCAAAGCCATGAGTCACATGCCAGAGATTCTGAGGCAGTAGGTCTGGGTTGAAGTTTAGGAATTTGTAGGTTAGCAGGCACACCAGATGACCCCGATCAGGTGGTCCCTTTGAGAGCTTCCGCTGAAGGCATGCACAGCCAACCGTGGAAACTTCCATCTCTAATCAACCAGTGGGAAGGAGAGTTCAAACTACATTTATGGTTATCCAATTAAAGGAAAAATAATGATTAATATTTGAGCAGCATTTATAGTTTCCAAATGCTTTCACTAATGTGATCTCATTTGATTCTCCCAAGAACGTTGAAGGTGGGGTTTTTAGGTTCACCATTTTCTGGCTAAGAGCTAATGGGATGACAGAGAATTATGGCTTAGAGTCTGAATCCTGAGTTGAATTGATTTGAATCCCCTGAATTAAGAATCCCAGCTCTACTACACACTAGCTTTATGACCTTGGGCAAATAATGTACTTTCTTAGCTTTATGGCCTTGGGCAAATGATGTACTTTCTCTACTCCTCAGTTTTCTCATCTCTAAAATGGCAACAATGATAGGGTTTTATGAGGATTGAATTAGATAATGCAATTAAGTACTTCATAAGAACTCAGCAAATGTTTTTTAAAAAAAGAGCAAATAGAAACTGAAGGGATTTGGTCAAAATCATACGGCTAAGTACACAGCAGGGCTAGGTCTCACTCCCAGGGATGCCTGACTCCAAACATTGTTCCCTACAGAGCTGTCCTGTAGGGGCTTCTGCCATGACCTGGGGACCAGACATTTGTTGCCATAGCCAGTGCTCACCAAGGCTGCTCTGTCTTTGCCCAGGTGGTTGAGAGAGAGGCAGGTGGAGAGGCAGTGAGAATGTGTACACAGGCACACCTCGGAGTTATTGAGGGTTTGGTTCCAGACCACCCCAATAAAGCAAATATCACGGCAAATCAAGTCAAATGAATGTTTTGGCTTCCCAGTGCATGTCAAAGTTATGTTTGCCCTGTACTGTAGTCTATTAAGTGTGCAATAGCATCATGTCTAAAAAAAAGCAATGTGCATACCATGATTTAAAAATACTTTATTTTTATTGCTAAAAAAAGGCTAACAATCATCTGAGCTTTCAGCAAGTCATACTGCTCACAGATCACCATAACAAATATAATAATAATGAAAACCTTTGAAATATTGGGAGAATTACCAAAATGTGACACCGAGACACAAAGTGAGCAAATACTGTTGGAAAAACGGTACAGTAGACTTGCTAGAAACAGAATTGCCAAGCAACTTCAATTTGTAAAAAAAATACAATATTTACAAAGTGCAATAACAGGAAGCACAATAGAGCTAAGTGTGCCTGTTGCTCTGTGGGCAGTCCACCTGGTTAGACCTCAGTGAAATTGTGCAAAGATAGGGCTCCTGGCCTGATATGGACCAGGAAGCAGCTGTGAGAGGGGCCTTGCTTTCCAGACTGCCCTCCGGGCTGGAGGACAAACTTGAATGCCTACAGGGGCCAAACCAATAATGTAAGTGATAGCTAACTTTGAATTTATTGAGTCCTGCTGCGCACCATTTCATTTCACCCTTACAGCTCTGTACAGCTGGTATTACTTTATGCCCATTTTACAGCTAAAGAAATTGAGGCATAGAAGATTAAGAGACTTGTCCACAGTCTGGCAGCTAGGTAAGTGGCAGAGCTGGGATTTAAACCCAGCTCTGCTGCCTTCAAAGACGTCGTGCTTCACTGCTACACTATGCTGCCTTCTCCAAGGAGTGTCCCAGCTCTGATGGGTGCTGCCACCACCTCCCAGCACCTGTCCCCTCAGCAGGCAGGGGTTGTTCTACTGCCATGTGCACAGCCCTTGTACACCTGCCAAGTGTCTATTTAAATGAAGTTATCTTTGGGTCACAGTTTCTTCTCTGCATTAGTTATGAATTGCGATGAAAACAATACTTTATATTTTTTATAACGCTTTATAGTTTAGTGAATGCATTTGGCCCTCACAGCTCCCCCTGCTCTACCCCAGGAAACTGGGCCTCAGAGAGGTGAGGTCTGTCTGTCCAAGGTTGCACAGGGAGTGATTGGGGTAGGCAGGTCCAAAACTCAGGGAGTCCGGCCCCAGGCTCAGTACTTGTCTTTCCACCTGGCATGCCCTCATCATGCCTCACTTTGCAGGATTCTTTGATGCCCGAGCATTGGCAGTTGACTTCCGGAGCATCGGTTTTCGGGAGTGCCTCACTGAGGTCATCAGGTACCTGGGGGTCCTGGAAGGGCCCAGCAGCCGTGCAGACCCCGTCCGGATTCGCCTGCTCTCCCACCTCAACAGCTATGCAGCTGAGATGGAGCCTTCACCCACGCCCGCGGGTCCCTTGGCCTTCCCTGCCTGGCCCTGGTCCTTCTTTCATAGCTGCCCAGGGCTGTCAGCCCCGAGCAGCCAGCTCGCCATCCTAGGAAGAGTGCCTGGCCCCATCCTCCCCAGCGCCTCCTCTCTTGCTTACCCGATCCCAGCCCTCCGAGCCGCTCCTGTGCGCAGAGCTGCTGGCACCATCCTGCCAGCCCGGAGGAATTTGCTGCCCAGTCGAGGGGCATCTTCTTCCCGGAGGGCCCGCCCCCTGGAGAGGCCAGCTGCCCCCCTGCCCACGGCCCCCAGTGGCAGGGCTGCCAGGAGCAGCCACATGGCAGCCCTCCTGCGATCTTCTTCCCCCCCACCCCCTGGTGTTGTGGGGTCCCCTGCGTGTGTGGCTGTTCCTGCCCCCAGGCTCTCTTCCCTAGGGGCAGCCGGGAGACCAGCAGGAGCCATGCTCTACCACTCCCGGGTCTCTGAAGTCACTGAAATTGGGGTTTTCTGAGCTGGCTTTCGCCCCAGGAGTGAGGAAAGTTATTTTTCCAGGAGCCCCAGAAATGGCCCTGCTTCCTGGACTGGCTCGTATGTGAAGGCTCCTCCTCCTTCGGCCCGTCTCCCCTCCTCACTGCTCACCCCAGCTTGTCCACCCAGTGCTCCAGGAGCTGTTGGATCTCAGAGGCTTGGTCTCATGTCTTACCTGGACAGAGGAGTCCCGGGAGAGCCCCTGAGAGCTTTGCCCAGACCCTATCCCTGCTCCAACACACACAGGGCAGCAGACATGTATGTTAGGTCTGGAAACAAAGTTTTAGCCTAAAAGGCACAATGGCCTGAGGCAGACTGTTTACCTAGAGAGATCAGACCCCAGCCAGGAGCAGTGACTGAATACTGACTGGCTGCAGCCTTCCCATACCCTTAGGCACAGAACATAGTGTCTGCCTCACTTCCTGAGACAGTAACTTAGCAGGGCCCCCCACCCCCCACCCCCACCCCCGCAAAGAGGTCTCTGGGGAACCCTGTCTGCCCCCACCCACCCCATCGCACTGAACCATAGGATAGACCCATTGTCCACCACGGCCAAGGTCTGGGACCTGGGAACCCAGCAGGGCCTGCTCCTGCCCTCTTCCTAGCTGAGTGACAGATCTCTGCACACAGCTGGGAGATTTTGGGGGTAGCAGTAAGGCCCCTCTACAGGGTGTTCTTAACACCAGTCCTCAGACAGCACTCCCAGGCAGGAGCCAGGATTGAGCAGAGAATCTGGCTCCCTGCCTGTCGTCCAGTCACCCTCCTCCAGACATGTGGTCCATGTTGGGCGCACAGTGTGAGGGCCTTGTTCCCACGTGATGGTCCCCAGAGAGGAATCCTCTTGGGATTCAGCACCAGACATTGGTGCAGCCTGGTCTGCATCCGGCCACAGAACCCAGACTGCTGGGACAGCCACAGGCTGTCGGACTGGACAAAAATAACTGTGAGGAGGGGCGAGAGGAAGGACAGTCAGAGGCGGCTTGGTCCTGCAAGGTCGCATGGTTGGTCAAGGGCCTGAGATCCTGTTCACCCAGGATCCCACGCAGCGGGCTCTGCCCCAGCCCGGGCCGCTTTTCCTCTGAGTGAACAAATAGCCCGACAACCATTCCCAGTGGAATAGCAGAGACTGGAAAAGATTGGGGCAGTCCCAGGCATGACATTCAGCTGGTCCACTGTTGCCAGACCTGTTGTTAGGATGTAGAAACATTTCTGTGCTCATTGGCAAATATCTCCTTCCTCTGGGCACCACTCCCTGCCATCCCCCGCCCCAACACCCACCACCACATGGTGTTTCCCCCAGGATCCCATGCTGATTAATGCCTGGCAGACCCAAGGCATGGGGTCCTCCAGCCAGCAATTGGTTGGTGCTTATTCTGCACTGGTTACTAAATACTTGGAGTGTCACCCCTGGGAAGACTCCCCACCTCCACCCTTTGGTGGAACCACCCTCCCCAGAGGCTGAATCAAGGAGACTCCATGGGCTCAAAAGTAAAGTTTGCAAAAACCCTGGGGGAAAAGGGCCCTTTCAGAGAAGTGGGTCAGAGGGCAAAGATCATTTCAGTGACCCAGAAAGCTCTTTTGAAAAGGCAAATTCCTTAAGGAGGCATAAAGAGCTAAAGTAATTCTTTCACGCCTCAATGTGAGTTTGATTAGATTGCTGTCCTGAACCCATCTGAGAGGTGCAGCAGTGAAGCGAGAGGGAGCCCATTCAAGGAGGGGGTCACTGGCCAGGAGTGCTCCTGAGGGAGGTCGAGAGGGATTGCGGGGCAGTCAGCAGACGCCCGAGAGCTGGGAGAGGGTGACCTAGAGAGGTGGCAAAAGGCTGAAACCCACTTCACCTTCTCACAAAGGCTCCTCGCCCTGTCCCCTCTCCCTGCCCCGCTTCCCCTCCTTCCCCTTCCCAACCCTGCTCCCTGGCTTTCCCAGATGGTGGCTCCCTGCTCCCAGGATACCAGCTCAGTGCTGCAGTCCTGCAGCTTGGTGACTTGCTAGCCTGAGAATTCAACATATACTCATAGTGAGGCCGTGGGAAACCCATTTCCATGTTTCCAGTACCCAACTCCAAACAAGAATCTGTTGACAGCATTTCATGAGGTGGAAATGGCCCAGAACTTTCAGATTCTTGGTTGATGTTGTTAGCCCAGGAGATTGTGAGGAAAAGGTGACCGGATGTATCTGTTTCTATGGTTGAGGACTTATATCTTTTGCTTATATATCCAAGCCTTTCTAGTACCCCCAACTCCCACCCCATTTGCTGGGGGTCTTACAGACATCCAATAAAATTTTTTTTTAGTTCTGGTAACCTCTGCCAGATTCTACTTCTTAAAATTTTAGAGTCCATCCACTTCTTCCTGAACCCACAGCCATCACCCTGGGCTGACATCAGCACCTCTTTCTCCAGTCACTGCCCTCCGAAAGGTCAGCTTGCTTCCCTCTTGCTCTGTCAATCAGTTCTGAACAGCAACCGGAGAGAACTTGAAACATGCAAATAATATTGTATTAACTCTGGTTTAAAACCCTTACTCTATTATTCCAAAAATCCAAGCTTTTTATTTTCTGGTTCCAACCTAACTTCTAGCCTCTTTTCCCACCTCCAGGATTTTGCATATGCTGTTCCCTTGCCCAGAATGCTCCTTCCCTACCCTTTGCATGGCTGAGCTCTTCATACCCTCAAGCCTTGGCTTCAGTGTCACCTCCTCAGAGAGGCCTTCCCCGACAACTGTCTTGAAAAGCTCATCTTTCTCCAAGTCCCCTGTTCTTTCCCTTCATAAGAAATGTGCCACAGCACATCCATTTCTGTGTGTCTCCCCCACCAGCATGTAAGCTCCATGAAGCCGGGGATCATGTCTGCTTTGCTTTCTGCCCTGGAATCAGAACCAAGCATGGTGCCTGGCTCAGAGTCAGTATTCAATAAATATTTGTTGAATAAATGAACTGGCAGGGTGAGGAATCTTCTGAACTCAAGCCGATGGATGGTACAGGGTTGGGGTGAACCCCCCACTGGCTGACTTTGAGGGGAAGCTGGAGAGCAAAGTGAAAGACAGGGCCAAGAGACTGAAGTTCTGGCAAATGGTGAGGAGGCTCTGGCCAAAGAAAAGTGCAAGTGTGCTGGCTCTGGAGTGTACACTGACATCCGACACCAGGCGGGTGTCCCTCTAGCAGGTATTGTTCCCTGCTCTTGGCCTGGCTCTCTTTGATGGATCCAGCTCGCAACGAATCCAACAAACATCTGTGGAGATCTGCTCCGTGCCCGGCCAGGAACGGTGAGGGCAGAGGTGACAAGGACATTGTCATCAGAGAACACACACCCCTGTCTAAGTAATAGTTTGGTGAGGAGAGAGTGGAGACAGAGGTCTGTTGAAAAGCGGGGACACAGAGGGGTTATCTGCCTCTGCTAGGGTGGCCATGGGCAAGGGTGAGGAGGGGTGCTGGGAGGAAGCCTTCCTGGAGGAGCGGGAAGAGAGGCATTCTAACAGCAAAAGGAACCATTGTGCAAAGACCTGGCGACTCATCAAGGGGCTCTCTGGAAGGTGGCTCTAAGGTGAGCACTGTCTTCCATGACAGAGCAACAGGTAGGCTAGTCTGGGTAATAAAGCCAGATTTCCAGGGTTCAGGTCCATCTCCATCACTTATCAGGGCTGTGGCCTTGAGCAAGTTGCTTAACATCCCTACACTTCAATTTTCTCATTATAAAACAGGGATGATTACAGTAATGGCTACTGTTAACGGAGTGGTAACTACATACCAGCCACTGTGCGAAATGCTTTTCTTGGAATGTTCCCATTTTGCAGATGAGGACACTGAACCAAGCCACCCTCTCCCAAGATAGGTCAGAATCGAATGGGATAACAAATGTAAAGCCTTAGTATAGGTCTGGGCCACAATCTTTCCATTAGTGTCATTAATGCAAAGAGGCTCAATACAAATTGTGGAAGTCCTTGAGTGCCATGCAGAGCTTGGGCTTTAGCCTGTGGACAGCGGAAGCCGTGGAAGATTTTGCCAAAGGAATGCTCAGGTCACACCTTGTTTAAGAAACTCCTGCTTGGGGTGGCGTGGATGGGTGACTGGGAGGAGGAGTATTCAGACTCAAGTCCACCTATTCATTGGAAACACCTAGATGCTTTAAAAAAATATCAGTGCCTGTGCCCCAGAGATGATACTTGTAACTTGTGTGTGCTGAGGCCCCAGCATCCCGTAAGGAGGTGTGAAGAAAAGAGTCAGGATTTCCTTCCTAGTCAAGGTTAATTTCCATTCAGGAAGCTTGTGAGCCTGAAAAGGGCTGGTGCTTTCTGAGAAGCAAAGCAGAAATTAATTTCCACGAGGGTATCTCTGTCATCCAGCTACATCTTAATCCCTAGCCCATAACAGATGCTTAAGAAACATTATGTGTTGAAAGCTTTGGGGACTTGGGATTCATTCAAAAGTCACTGAATATTTCATGATTTCTGGACACCTAAAGACGTTAGCTTCCTCCTCACCTTCCTGGGAAAAGAGGGTAGGAAAACTCAGGCCTGGATATCAACTGATCCCATTAATAATAGTAAACATTTTTGAGACTTTGACCTACCTTATCTCATCTGATCCTCATATAGCTCTGTGAGTAGGTACTCTTATTACCACCATTTTACAGAAGAGGAAATTGAGACACAGTTTGTTAATGAAAGCACCCAGTTCACAGCCCGAATAAATGTTCGAGCCAAAATTAAAACCTAGGCCTGTCCAATTCAGTCTTAACCAATTCAGTACACTGCTTCCTTCCCAACCTGCCTCTTGTAATCGAAACCCAAAGACATTCAGTGGTAGGCCTGACAGGACTGATGGGCTGGACTGTCAAGTTAGCCTGGGAAACCTTCATCTCCACCATGCTTTTCTCACCCTGTGCTGGTGCAAGTAAAGCTTGGCCGACGTAACAAAGAGGCCCAGGAATAACTCACTGGATGAAAGAAGACAGAAGTTTATTTATCTCTCGTGTAACTGCCTAATGAATATTCCAGATCAGCCAGAAGCTCTGATCAATGGAGATGCACTAGGACCCAGTTTCCTTCCATCCTGACCCCCTGCCATCTCCTAGGGCATGGCCCTGCACAGTTGAAGATAGGTCTCCATGGGTTTGAGCCAGCAGGAAGGGAAAGAAAGCTTAGTGGAGGCACGGCCATAGTCGTAAAGCCTAGGCCCTGAAGTAGCACACACATGTCTATCCACATTCCACTGGTGAGAACTTCGATGGTTAGCCACATCAAACTGCAAAGGAGGCTGGGAAAATCATGTTTGCCCTGTTCTCTGAAATAAGGGTGAGTTGGATATTGGCAGATAGTCTATCATCTTGCCATTACCTCGCAGCCTGGGAGGGTGAGCCCTGGGAATGGGGTAATTAGGGCCATCAGAAGCTACTGACTGCCCGGCTCACGTGCATGTGTGTATGTGTGTGTGTACATATGCCTGTGTCTGTGTGCACGTGATCTGGAGGTCAATTTACCTTGAGTTTAAGGAACTGGGCACAGGGGCTCCACCTACCACTCTGTGATCCCACGGGGGCAGGTTGGATGCCCCCAGATGGAGTTGTGTCTGCACTAGGCCCAGCTCTCCTGAGAACTCTCCTAGAAAACACAGTGTAAGACAAGGAGGATCTGTTGCTCTAGGATGGCCAGTGGGCCCCAAGCCAACTGAGATCAGTGTCAGCTGAAGGGCTTGTGTGCCACACAGCACCCGGAAGACCTGCTTTCGCCATCTTGGCTCCCACTAGGGAGGAGGCACTGAGAGAGGCTCACACCTTCCCTGACCCACACTGGTTGTCGTGCTCTCTTCTCATCCCAGCTGTCCAGGACACAACCAGCCCCGAAGCTCTGGCCCAAGGCTGGGCCCCTTGGGGCTGTGCGTTCTGTTTGTCGAAGTTGAGTGTCTCATGAATAAGGCTACTGAGACACCCTTGCTAATTCCTTGGCAATGGCAGGTGAAAAGCAGCCAGGCGTTAGGTCTCCAAACACAGACTCCCAGGCTCCCCAGACTTTTTGCTTCATATAAGAGGGAAAAGACAAAAGAATTTGTTCAGCACATGGATCTCAGAAAGCTGGCCGGCAGGCCTATGCTGCCATGAGTCCAAGGGCCATTTTAAACTCAGGCTTGACTCAAGCATTTGGGCAATATCTGGATTCTACTGCTCCACTCAAGGAAGTCCAGAGTGGAAATCCCAACCCAGGCGCTCTGCATGTTCTGTTGGAGCCTCTTAAAATAGTGAACCATCCACACATTGCCTACACCTCCAGCAACCCTCAAAGGAACCATCAGCAGGAAGGGAAATGGTGCTTCATGTCATACAGCACGAACAGTTCAAAGTGCTTCCACGTGTGTTAACCTCATTGATGCCTCTCAACAGTTAGGTCAAGGGATACAGGGCAGAATTATCATCTGCATTATGCAAATGAGAAACCCAATCTTATTTCAGGTAAAATGATTTGCTCCAGATCAGAAAATAGTAAATGGCAAAGCTTGTTTGGACAGCAGTAGAAGGTCACAGATCATAAGCAGGCACAGAGAAATCATATAACGTTAACCAGTACTGAGCACCTGCCATGTGCAGGCCCTGTACCAAGTGCTTTAAATGCAGAATCTGTTTATCAGCACAACCCCATGATTTGGGTTTTGGTTCTGTTATTATCTCCATTTTACAGTGAGGAAACAGAGGTGCAGAGAGATTAAGTAATTTGTCCGAGGTAACACAGATACTGAGGGGCAATGCTCTTAACTTCCAAGTTCTATGGCCTCCTATGCGCTGTAACTTCTGTGTGCACTCCCTCCAGGCATCAGAGGTGGGGGGTACCCGGGCCTCCACAATGGCTCCCAGCTTACCCCTCAAGGCTTTGGTCTCAGACCCATCAGTGTTAACTCAGCCACCCCTTGAACACGGAAATCAGCTCTGCCTGCCTTCATAACAACACTTAAGGAACACCGACTATGTGCCAGGCGCTTATCTATGTGCTGAGATATAGCAGTGAATGAAACAAAACCCCAGATTCATGGAGCTACATTCTCCTGAGGGGCAGACAATAAACACCCAGACAAATACATACATGAAATGCTTGATGGAGAAGAAGGATAAGGTGGATAAGGGGACAGAGTGATGGGGAGGAGATGCTGTTTTACATGGGACGGACAGGGAAGCCCAGAGGGGGCAGTGTGAACAGAAACTGGAAGCTCCCCGAGAGGAGGGCGATCCCGGCAAGGAGCGTCAAGGGCAGGTTTCAGAAGCCCATGTAGCTGGAGTGTAGACAACAGGGGTGGAGTGTCGGGAGATAAAATTTGGGGTTGGGTGGTGGGAGGGTGTCAGATTTTACTCAGGGGGAGGCAGGAAGGCACTGGAGGGTGAAGTGTGGGTGAGACTACGATCTGACTACATGTCAGGAGTCACAGTGTGAAGGGGCGAGGCGGGAGCATGGGAGCAGGGAGGCCATCGTGGCCTCTCCAATTCCAGTGACCTCCTTCACACCACCTCAACTGCTCACTCCCACGGAACTCACCGTCACCAAAAACGCTTTTCCAAGAAATCCTCACTTTGTACATCCTCTCAGCCACACGTGCTCTCCGTCAAGCCCCCTCTGCTTGGCCTTCCCCTGGCAAAAATTCTCCAACCTCAAGGAGAATTCTTCAAATCACTGACCACACCCCCACCCCACTGTGGCCATCGGTCACCTCCTGGTTTCACTTCCCTCCTTACCAAGCTAAGGGCCCATGGACCCTCTTGCTCATAATCACCCCTTGTCCCGTCTCTCCCTCCACTGCAGTCACTTGGTGTGGAGACAGACTCTAGAGTGGCCCCCATGACCCTTGCCTCCTGGTGTCCATGCCCTTGTATAATCCCCTCCTCTGAGGGTAGGCAGATCATGTGACCTGCTTCTAAAAAATAGAATATGGCAAACATGAGGGATATGCCCCC